ATGTTTATTCTTAAACCAATACATGCAAAAAATGATGGGACTATCTTTAAACCAAGTTTTCTCAACCTTGACACTATTGACCTTTGGGACCAAATGATGATTTTTTAATAAAACATTTCCCTATACATGGTAGGAGGTTTAGCAGTGTGCCTAGATGCTACCCAGTAAATATCATGTCCCCTTCCCAATGTGACAACCCAAAATGTCTCTACGTGCTTGCTCAGCTGTGTCCAACTCTTTGTGACTCTATAGGTGGGGACTGCCAGACTCCTCTGTCCATGGGATTCTCCAGGCAAGAATACCTGAGTGGGTTGTCATTTCTTCCTCCAGGAGATGTTCCCAACCCAGGGATTGAACCAGTGTCTTCTATGCCTCCTGCATTGGCAGGAGGATTATTTTACTACTAAGCCACCTGGGAAGCCTCAAAATGTTCTACACATTGAAAATTATTCCTGAAGGCAAAATTGTCCCTTGTTAAGAACTACAACTTTAGACTAGACTAAAAGAATTCAATCCAGAAACTAAAGGTGAGCTGAACTTCCATTGTATCACTGAGCTACATGAGACAGAAGTAGTTATTGTATTCAAAGCAATATTCTAAGAATGAACTAGAATACAGTGGTGACATGTGGGTAATTCACAGTGAAAACTTCACTTTTAAGTCAAGTAATATTGCTGATAATCAATTCAGGATTATCAGCTTGACTGATAGCCCAGTCAAGTTGCTATCCATTGTCTTACTGACTGTTAACAGGCTATGTGTATAATGAACAAGATCTGGATGGGAAGAAGGAAGCTTTGATATGGAAGAAACTTTTCCTCTTACAAAAGATATCATTTCTGACATTGGCCATGATTGCTCAGTGGGACTACAGCCTATAATTCCTACACAGTTCAGTTCAGTCACTCAGTTGTGTCCAACTCTGTTTTATCCCATAAACCGCAGCATGCCAGGCTTCCCTGTCCATCACCAACTCCTGGAGTTCACCAAAACCCATCTCCATCGAGTCAGTGATGCCATCCAACCATCTCATCCTCTGTCATCCCCTTCTCCTCCTGCCCTCAATCCCTCCCAGCATCAGGGTCTTTTCAAATAAGTCAGCTTTTCGCATCAGGTGGCCAAAGTATTGGAATTTCAGCTTCAACATCAGTCCATCCAATGAAAACCCAGGACTGATATCCTTTAGGATGAGCTTTCAGTCCAAGGGACTCTCAAGAGTCTTCTCCAACACCACAGTTCAAAAGCATCAATTCTTTGGCACTCAGCTTTCCTTATAGTCCACTCTCACATCCATACATGACCAGTGGAAAAACCATAGCCTTGACTAGATGGACCTTTGTTGGCAAAGTAATGTCTCTGCTTTTTAACATGCTATCTAGTTTGGTCATAACTTTTCTTCCAAGGAGTATGCGTCTTTTAATTTCATGGCTGTAATCACCATCAGCAGTGATTTTGGAGCCCAGAAAAATAAAGTCAGCCACTGTTTCCACTGTCTCCCCATCTATTTGCCATGAAGTGATGGGACTAGATGCCATGATCTTAGTTTTCTGAATGTTGAGTTTAAGCCAACTTCTGCATTCTCCTCTTTCACTTTCATCAAGAGGCTCTTTAATTCTTCTTCACTTTCTGCCATAAGGGTGATGTCATCTGCATATGTGAGATTATTGATCTTTCTCCCGGCAATCTTGATGCCAGCTTGTTTCCTCTACCCAGCGTTTCTCATGATGTACACTGCATGTAAAGTCAAATAAGCAGGGTAACAATATACAGCCTTGACATACTCCTTTTCCTATTTGGAACCAGTCTGTTGTTCCATGTCCAGTTCTAACTGTTGCTTCCTGACCTGCATGCAGGTTTCTCAACAGACAGGTCAGATGGTCTGGTATTCCCATCTCTTTCAGAATTTTCCACAGTTTATTGTGATCCAAACAGTCAAAGGCTTTGGCGTAGTCAATAAAGCAGAAAGAGATGATTTTCTGGAACTCACTTGCTTTTTCTATGATCCAGTGGATGTTGGCAATTTGATCTCTGGTTCCTCTGCCTCTTCTAAAACCAGCTTGAACATCTGGAAGTTCATGGTTCAGTATTGCTGAGGCCTGGCTTGGAGAATTTTGAGCATTACTTTACTAGCATGTGAGATGAGTGCAATTGTGCAGTAGTTTAGCATTCTTTGGGATTGCCTTTCTTTAGGATTGGAATGAAACTGACCTTTTCCAGTCCTGTGGCCACTGCTGAGTTTTCCAAATTTGCTGATGTATTGAGTGCAGCACACTCACAGCGTCATCTTTCAGGATTTGAAATAACTCAACTGGAATTCCATCACCTCCACTAGCTTTGTTTGTAGTGATGCTTCCTAAGGCCCACTTGACTTCACATTCCAGGATGTCTGGCTCTAGGTGAATGTGAGTGATCACACCATTGTGATTCTCTGGGTCATGAAGGTTTTTTTTGTACAGTTCGTCTGTGTATTCTTGCCACCTCTTCTTAGGTACCTACCATTTCTGCTTCTGTTAGGTACCTACCATTTCTGTCCTTTATTGTGCCCATCTTTGCATGCAATGTTCCCTTGGTATCTCTAATTTTCTTGAAGAGATCTCTAGTCTTTCCCATTTTATTGTTTTCCTGTATGTCTTTGCATTGATTACTGAGGAAGGCTTTTTTTTTTTTTAATCTCTCCTTGCTATTCTTTGGAACTCTGCATTCAAATGGGTATATCTTTCCTTTTCTTCTTTGCTTTTTGCTTCCCTTGTTTTCACAGCTATTTGTAAGGTCTTCTCAGACAGCCATTTTGCTTTTCTTCATTTCTTTTTATTCGGGATGTTCTTGATTCCTGTCTCCTGTACAATGTCATGAACCTCCATCTATAGTTCATCAGGGACTTTGTCTATCAGATCTAGCCCCTTAAATCTATTTCTTACTTCCACTGTATAGTCTAAGGGATTTGATTTAGGTCACACCTGAATGGTCTAGTGGTTTTCTCCACTTTCTTCAATTTCAGTCTGAATTTGGCAATAAGTCAGGCTTCAGCAATATGTGAACCGTGAACTTTCAGATGTTCAAGCTGGTTTTAGAAAAGGCAGAGGAACCAGAGATCAAATTGCCAACATCTGCTGGGTCATCGAAAAAGCAAGAGAGTTCCAGAAAATCATTTATTTCTTCTTTATTGATTATGCCAAAGCTTTTGACTGTGTAGATCACAATAAACTGTGGAAAATTCTGAACGAGATGGGCATACTAGACCACCTGACCTGCCTATTGAGAAACCTGCATGCAGGTCAGGAAACAACAGTTAGAACTGGAAATGGAACAACAGACTGGTTCCAAATAGGAAAAGGAATATGTCAAGGCTGTATATTGTCACCCTGCTTATTTAATTTATATGCAGAGTACATCATGAGAAACGCTGGGCTGGAAGAAGCACAGGCGGGCATCAAGATTGCCAGGAGAAATATCAATAACCTCAGATATGCAGATGACATCACCCTTATGGCAGGAAGTGAAGAGGAACTAAAAAGCCTCTTGATGAAAGTGAAAGAGGAGAGTGAAAAAGTTGGCTTAAAGCTCAACATTCAGAAAACTAAGATCATGGCATCTGGTCCCATCACTTCATGGGAAATAGATGGGGAAACAGTGGAAGCAGTGTCAGACTTTATTTTTGGGGGGCTCCAAAATCACTGCGGATGGTGATTGCAGCCATGAAATTAAAGGATACCTACTCCTTGGAAGGAAAGTTATTACCAACCTAGATAGCATATTATAAAGCAGAGACATTACTTTGCCAACAAACGTTCAGTTAGTCAAGGCCATGGTTTTTCCAGTGGTCATGTATGAATGTGAGAGTTGGACTGTGAAGAAAGCTGAGTGCCAAAAAACTGATGCTTTTGAACTATGGTGTTGGAGAAGACTCTTGAGAATCCCTTGGACTGCAAGGAGATCTATCCAGTCAATCCTAAAGGAGATCAGTCCTGGGTGTTCATTGGAAGGACTGATGCTGAAGCTGAAATTCCAATACTTTGGCCACTTCATGAGAAGTGTTGACTCATTGGAAAAGACCCTGATGCTGGGAGGGATTGAGGGCAGGAGGAGAAGGGGGCGGCAGAGGATGAGATGGATGGATGGCATCACCGACTCAATGGACATGAGTTTGTGTAAACCCCAGCAGTTGGTGATTGACAGGGAGGCTTGGCGTGCTGCAATTCACGTGGTCGCAAAGAGTTCGACACGACTGAGTGACTGAACTGAACTTAACTGAACTGAGTTCATGACCTGAGCCACAGTCAGCTCCCTGTCTTGTTTTTGCTGACTGTATAAAGATTTTTCCATCTTTGGCTGCAAAGAATATAATCAATCCTATTAACTGGGAAAATTAATCTATTCTCAGTTATTTACATTAACATGCCACTGTTGGCATCTGAGGTTTGTCAGCAGTTACAGGATTTTAAGAAAATGTGGGAGTGAGTTGTGGACAATTGAGATTGTCATTGTACCTTTTGAACAAATTGCGTCACTCAGTGGCCCTTGAATTAATCAGTGCTTTTGTGCATCTATGTGATGTAATATCTAGGACAAGGATCTATGTTACAGCCATTGCCAATCTTTTGCTATTCACCACACTTAGGTGTGAGGGGGTGCCCCCTCCTAAGGAGCCCATGAATAATACACAAGATGTCTTCTAAATTGCTTTACCATGAAGATGACAAGTAGGAGATACATGTTAATTATTTGTTTGCTGGCTCAGTATAACCCTACATGCAGCTTGTGAAGTGCTATTACATGCTGGCATTAATCTATTTCTTTTGTAAGCCTTTCTCAGTAACTGATCTGAATGCCTGGGGCACAGATTTCTGTTTTAATGCTAGCAGATGCAGGTATAGAACTGTTTTCCTCCAGACTTTTTGTCTCTTGTATGACTAATCCTGTATTTCAAACCAAGCAAAAGTGGCTTTTGGCATGGCTTAAATTTTTTACTGAAATGTGCCGCTGTGGAATGGAATTAGAAATGTGTGCATCCATTCATTCCCCCACCACATATTTGTTTAGTAGGTATTGTGTAAATTCCTAAAGGTATATTGATAATTAAAGTTCCTTGATCTCTGCCTTCAAGGAACTAGGGGTCTAATATGTAAACAGATGATTAAAGGAAGTTATAAAAAGTGTCATTAAAAGAATGAACAAGATGTTGGACAGATGCAGTAACTTCTAAATTTGATCTATCAGTCAAATTCACATCAGGAAACAGGATGCATTCAAGGAATCAACTGAAAAGAACTTAGTGAAATGACTCTTTTACAGAGATGTGGGCTGCATTTGGAGAAGCAGAATAGAATGACACATCCAGGGATAGCAACAGTGGAAGCCATGGGGCTTGAAGATGCAGGAGGAGAATGCTACTAGAACTTGCAGACATTGCTGACAAAGGAAAGAGACTTCCCACAGCATCTGAGGTCTTGGGTGGAAGAACAAAAGGAAGGCAACACTGTCCAAACTGTGGTCCTGGAGGGGCAGCAAGCAATCTGCAGAATAAGTAACCTGACCTTCCCCACTTGCTACATTTGGTTTTGTGTTGCTACTTCTCTTTGACTCTTTTCTAACTAGAAAAGAAAGTATGGTGATATGTTCTATAGAAATCAGGTTCTTGGTAAACAGGGAAGGAAATAAAGGGAAAGAATGGTGCATCCATTACCTACCAGCAGGATGAGATGAGTGGAGAGGCTGCTGCTGGTTGGGCACAGGCAGCTGAAAGCATTCTGAGAAGGGCTTTGGGCTTTCATCTCACTTCATTTAGTAGAGCTGAAAAGTCACTGGCAAGGTGAAGACAACTGAGTTTCTTCCTTTAATGTTTCCCATTATATAAGGAATTTCAGTGAAAGACCCCGTATATGTGTGTGTGTGCATCTGTATGTGAGTGTGGTTCTGCATTTTGCTTTCTCATTTGCATAAGCAAGAGTTTTCAAAAGTTAAGCTGATCCTAGAAAGTATTTTTAAAGGAAACTTTTGTTTCCTTTTTTGTTAGAAGCAACCATTATAACTAACAAGAAAATATTTTTAATAGGAAAAAATTTAGTTAACCAGGATAAACAAATTCATAGTCATACAGAAAGGCAAAGTATTGCAGCTCTGTTGATCTTGAGGTACCTAGAGAACTCAGAGGTGATTAGTAAGCCTAATATCAATGCAGATCTTAGTTTTTAGTTCCTAACATCACATGTCAGGTTGATCAGAGATGCCCAGACTTTTCAAGTCATCATTAAAATAGAGGTGGGCTTACAGTGCTTTGAGATATGCTATTTTGTTCCCACTCATTTCATCTAGGCACCAGACAACTGAGGATTTTTAAAAAGATGCTTAGACTAGTTGGCCAAGTACTTATGTATTTCCATCAGTTTTTATAGTTAGGGTAGCTTTTCCCTCAAAGTTTAGTTGGAAAAATCACAAAGGATGAGCTGTTTGTGTTTCATTAATCTGTATATCCTCGTTATCTTAAGTAAGATCTTTAGTCAACAGAACGAGATTGGACTAATGATGGTTTCTGTCAGTGTGATTGTCTATCACTCTTTTTGTCATTTTTCACTCTCAACATTCCCTTTATTGAGCCAACTGTGAATATAAGCAATTGATAAAGCTCCAGGTGCCATCGTTCCACACTTCAGTTGCATTTATTATGAAGACAGGAAAAGTGAAACTGTATTTTAATCAATAAAGTTTTTAAGAAAAACAACCAAACCCTTGAATATTTTTAAGCTAACATAACACAGTTGTATTTTGTGGGTACATATTTGTACAGAATTATGACTGCAGTATAATTCATTTCAGAAGCATCAATTCTTCAGCACTCACCTTTCTTTATGGTTCATTTCTCACATCCATACATGACTACTGGAAAAACCATAGCTTTGACAAGTTGGACCTTTGTCAGAAGAGTAATTTCTCAGCAATTTAATATTCTGTCTAGCTTGGTCATAGCTTTTCTTCCAAGGAGCAAGTGTCTTTTAATTTCATGGCTGCAGTCACCATCTGAAGTGATTTTGGAACCCAAGAAAAGAAAGTCTGTCACTATTTCCATTGTTTCCCATCTATTTGCCATGAAGTGATGGGATCTGATGCCACAGTCTTTGTTTTTTGAATGTTGAGTTTTAAGCCAGGTTTTTCTCTCTACTCTTTCACTTTCATTAAGAGGCTCTTAGTTCCTTTTCTCTTTCTGCCATAAGGGTGGTGTTATTTGCATATCTGAGGTTATTGATATTTCTCCCAGCAATCTTGATTCCAGCTTGTGCCTCATCCAGTCCAGCATTTTGCATGATGTACTCTGCATATAAGTTAAATAAACAGGGTGACAATATACAGTCTTTATGTACTCCTTTCCTGATTTGGAACCAGTCTGTTTTTCCATGTCTGGTTCTAACTGTTGCTTCTTAACCTGCATACAGGTTTTTTAGGAGGTAGGTAAAGTGTCCTGGTATTCCAATCTCTTGAAGAATTTTCCACAGTTTGTTGTGATCCACAGTCAAAGGCTTTAGTGTAGTCAATGAAGAAGAAGTTGATGCTTTTGGAATTCTCTTGCTTTTTCTATGATGCGACAGATGTTGGCAATTTGATTTCTGGTTCTTCTGCCTTTTCTAAAATCAGTTTGAACATCTGGAAGTTCTCTGTTCATGTACTTTTGACACATGGCTTGGAGAATTTTGAGAATTATTTTTCTAGCGGGTGAAATGAATGCAATTGTGCAGTAGTTTGAACATTCTTTGGCATTGCTTTTCTTTGGGATTGGAATGAAAACTGACCTTTTCCAGTCCTATGGCTACTGCTAGTTTTCCAAATTTGCTGGCATATTGAGTGTTGCACTATAACAGCACTATCTTTTGGGATTTGAAAGAGCTCAGCTGATATTCCATCACCTCCACTAACTTTGTTTGTAGTGATGCTTCCTAAGGCCTACTTGACTTCACACTCCAGGATGTCTGGCTCTAGGTGTGTACTTAGTCACATATAGATTATATAGCCCAGTACATGGTCCATTAGCATCAATTTTGGCTTCCCTGAGAGCTCAGTTGGTAAAGGATCGGCCTGCAATGCAGGAGACTCTGGTTTGATTTCTGGGTTGGGAAGATCAGCTGGAGAAGGGATAGGTTACCCACTAGAGTACTCTGGGCTTCCCTTGTGGCTCAGCTTGCAAAGAATCCACTTACAATGAGGGAGAACTGAGTTTGATCCTTGGGTTTGAAAGGTCCCCTGGAGAAGGGAATGGCTACTCACTCCAGTATTCTGGCCTTGATTGTGTCACAAAGAGTCAGACATGACTGAGTGACTTTCACTTCAGCATCATTTTTACCTATAAATCATGTGCATGTGGGAATTTTTTTCCAATTGACAATTTTTGAAGAATTTCTGTAGATCTTATCCTTTTTTATATATAAGGAGCAAAAAATGGTATTTTGGGTACCTAAGTTATCAATCATCCAGTAAACACTTGGTAGACATATTTTGCATTAGCTTATATGAGATAAAGAGTAATTTTCTAGCATAATTCTCACATCAAAGTAAAATGGATTACCAAGGAAACCTTAACCACTAGACCTATATAAATATATGTCTACTAAAAATTAAAATATATGTTTTAAGTTGTATGTTTTTAAGTTGGATAACATGATTCATATGTACATAGTGAAATGATTTCTTCTGTTAAGCTAATTTATCAATCTCATCAGGTAGGTGCCAATTTTTTGATGAGCTCTCCTGAAACCTACTCTCTTAGAAAATTTCAACATTCCACACAGTATCATTAATTATAGTCATCATATTGTACTTTAGTTAGTTAGTTAGTTCAGTCACTATGTTGTGTCCGACTCTTTGTGACCCCATGGACTGCAGCATGCCAGGCCTCCATGTCCATCACCAACTCCCAGAGTGTACTCAAACTCATGTCCATTGAGTCGGTGATGCCATCCGACCATCTCGTCCTCTGTCATCCCCTTCTCCTCCCGCCTTCAATCTTTCCCAGCATCAGGGTCTTTTCAAATGAGTCAGCTCTTTGCATCAGGTGGCCAAAGTATGGGAGTTTCAGCTTCAGCATCAGTCCTTCCAATGAATATTCAGGACTGATTTCCTTAGGATGGACTGGTTGGATCTCCTTGCAGTCCAAGGGACTCGCAAGAGTATGTTGTACATTACTGTAGACCTATTCATACTATAGTTCTGCAACTTTCTGTCCTATTACCAACATTTCCCCATTTCCTCCACCTCTCTGCCCTGGTAACCACCATTCTACTCTCTGCCTCTATGTATTAATTTTCTAAGATTATATACATGATATGCACTTTCATCCTTTTTGTCTGGTTTATTTTACTTATCATATTGTCTTTCATTTTCATCTATGTTGTTGCAAATGGTGAATATATACAGAGGAATATTTTTCAGCCTTAAAAAAGAAAATGAATTTTCTTAATTTCAAGTATAATACATGTTTTAAAGTATTTTTAAGTGAATGTTAATGAAAAATAATTAATAAAATAAGTGATAAGCCAATAAAAAGAAATTTGCCAAACTTACATAGTATATGGTGACTATAACAGCTCTTATCCGGTAGTGATTAAATTTTCAGTTCAATTTAGTTCAGTCACTCAGTTGTGTCTGACTCTTTGCGACCCCATGAACCACAGCACGGTCAGGCCTCCCTGTACATCACCAACTCCCAGAGTCCACCCAAACCCGTGTCCATTGAGTCGATGATGCCATCCAACCATCTCATCCTCTGTCATCCTCTTCTCCTCCTGCCCTCAATCTTTCCCAGCATCAGGGTCTTTTCAGATGAGTCAGCTCTTTGCATCAGGTGGCCATAGTATTGGAGTTGCAGCTTCAAAATCAGTCCTACAGCTCAGCAATTGAAAAACGTCACCAGGGATACCAAAGACATCCTAGACTTTAGATAATTAACAATTTTTCAATCAGTGTGCCTTCATTTTCAGGTATACCTCTTAGATTCAGCATGGAAAAAATTCTTCTGACTTCTTAAGTCAATTAAAAGCCTAAAGTCTGTAGCTGAGCTA